ACTAATCACTTGGGGCAAGGGTTTTGCTTGTGTTTCCACAGATCGAGGTCTGAAGTGGGTGTCAGCGCGACACGTGAGGCCATTTTGAGTGCGAGAATACGAGAACGCTGATCTGAGAAACAAAGAGACGCGTACTCAGACAGAAGTCGAGACTCAGACTGTGAAAAACGACTCGGAAGAGAAATAAAAAGAAACTAAGGACTTTGGGGATTTTCCATTAGGGTCCTGAATGAAAAACAAAACAACGATCTCGCACAAAAGCGAAGTCATGAGTTTCATGATGCTCATGTGCATCATTCTTTCATTCATTGCAGTGAGCAATGGAGGAAATTTACCTATTAGTCAGCCAAAGCAAAATGTATGGGAGACTTTAGCTCAAGCAGCGAATTTAGATAGTATTTGCCTGACACATTCGAGAAGAGGGAAAAGATTTTCAGCATGCATGGTTGGATTGCCAGTGGACGAATGGCCAGTTCCAGGGCACTCCGCAGTTAACATTTCACAGGTCATTAAAGATCCTGTGAAAGAGTGGTGTGCTTGGACACATCTACTTCCTGTGGCTTCTACAGAACCTCAGGAATTGGAGATTTTTGGGTCCATGACAATGGAACTCTGCATGCAGTTTGAAATTCCAGGTGTCACAAAGGCAAAAACTATCGATGTAACTCCCAATCATGAATTCTATAAGAATGCATCAGCATGGTGTAAATATACAGAGAAAACTGCCAGGGGATCGATCCAAGTCCCAGTGCAATTGCCACGGGGTTTGTTTTTAATTTGCGGGGACAGAATTTGGCACGGCATTCCTGCTAATGCCACGGGAGGTCCATGCAGCATTGGGGAAATTTCAATGCTATCGCCTGATTTGAACATGCTAAGAGAGAAAAAGCACAAAGAAAAAAGATCAATACAACAATATGCGGCAGACTGCAATGATGAAATATTTTCTTGGGACAAGACAGCGAGGATTGCTACAGCAATCTTCTCACCTCAAACAGCATCAGGGGTGGCCTTGACTCAGATCGACCACATGGGTTGTTGGTTGAGCAAACATGCGCGGTCTGTGTCTGTCACATTGGATGACACGTTAAAAGACATCAGTGGCGTAAGACAGACTACTCTTCAAAACAGAGCGGCGATCGATTATCTATTGCTCGCTCATGGACATGGGTGCGAAGAGTTTGAAGGGATGTGCTGCATGAATCTCTCGGATCATTCAAGGTCAATTCATGAAAGTATTAAAAACATAAAGGACAGTATAAATAAGCTTGGCGAGATCACAGGATCATGGATCGATCAGCTGGTAGAATTCTTTGACATCTCTCCCATTTGGAGAGGAATTTTAAAGATAGGATTCTATATTTTAATAGTTCTCCTAGTCCTCATACTTGTCGTCCCATGCATATTTGCATGTTTAAAACGTGCGATGAATCAGATAGCAAAAGAGGTCTTCTTGGTGCAAACAGAAGGGGGAGATGTGGGATTTCAGCACCTCAGGGCTGAGGTGCAGAGTGACCGAGACCACCCTTGGGGGGCTCGGGAGTCCTGGAATGTTGCCAGAAGTGTCTGGTGGCTGGACTTTGATCCTACACGAGAGACGACACCTGTATGAAGATGGGAGGATTTCACTGGGGTAAATGGTGAAGGGATAAGTTAATTAGAGTGTAAAACACAGGGTTTAGGATTTCTGTACAGGGGGGTCTAAAGAAGTAAGATGGAGGAATTGGGGCGTGTCCTGTCCTCCTTCTTCTTCTTCTTCTTGGCCTCCATCTTCTGTGGTGATGGTGGCACTTTGGGATTGGTTATTACTAAAAGTGCACCGGTCAATAAGGGTAAAAGGTATTGGAAAGAATAGGTAAATATTGTATACGTAGTTTTGAGTATAAAGATAAGTGACCGCCCCGGGGGCTCGCAGTGTGCATGTGGCTGGCTTGCTGTGCGGACCTCTGTCGGGCAGAGAGAAAATCTTTTAGATAAACAATCAATAAATACTGAAGTCCGAGAAAGACCTGAAGCCTCTATTCGTCCTTTTGAAGTGCGGGCTGCCCAAGGCCATCTCTGAGCCTTTCCAGGCCATAAAACAGCCAAGAACAGAAGGGACAGGTATGGGTTAAAGATTTGATTACTGGAAGGTGGACTGGCTCAGTGGAATTAATAACGTGAAGGAAGGGACATGTGTGTTCCGACAGAGAATGGCCCTCGTTGAGTTTTTGCTCATTGAGCTAAGTCTTATCTGGAGTATATAGGAAAGAACAGGATGGGTGGTTCCACAGCTGAAGTAAAATGAGTGGGTGACACTGGCCACTAGGTGGATTGAAGCATGGACCCTCAAAGAACATGCTGTGAAGATGATAATTCAAGGCTGAGCAAATGGGTATATTGACTCACGCTGAAAACTCGAATTTAAATTGTTGGATGTTACCTTTACTTTAGTTCTTAGTATTTTTTTTACAGAGAGGTTTGTAGTGCTGAGTAATGTGTCTTGTACTATTTCCCTTTGCATGGCACCGACGTTCCCAAAATAGGGGAATTTAATGTACCTAGGGGAGGTGTTGCCTTTGCATAGGGGTGTTGAATTAGTAGCTAAGGTTCCACACTTTGAACAACTAGGTTAGTTGCCCATTATGATAGCAGCAACCAGTTGTAAAGTTAAGTGGATGCTACTTAGAACTAAGTGGTGACTAGGCAGATGACTTGGTCTCTAATTCTGTGTGGAGAAAAATCTATTCAACTAAAAGTGAAAGTGTCATCCTGCCATAAATGTGTCATTAAGGGACTGAGGGGTCTGCAACAGCATTTGAAAATTCATTTTCTATGTGCCTTGTTGGTACATCATTATTGTTGGTGCATGCTTATGAACATCAGGATTTTGAGGGTATGTGTTTATGGGCTTGTTAGATCATAGTGGATCAGTTCACATGAGTTTTGGATTTTAAGGAAGAAGTTAGTAATTAGCAGGTGAATGAAGGATGGAAATGTTTGAGTAGTTTCCTTGTAAGTTGGGATATTGCTGACTGGCTTGGGGTATTGTTGGAAGGTGGACTCTTAATTTTGCTGGTGGTTGTCATTGTTTTGTTGTAGCAGCCGGAATAGCTGCTAATAAAGTCCAGGGTAAGGAAGCAAAAAGGGCCTTTGCATAATATCCACAGATGTTTAATTCAGCCACGTGGTGAGTCGTTCAGGGTCCAAGGGTACACTCATGGGGAAAGTCCAGGTTTCTCTGAGTCCAGAGGTAGGGGCTAAGCAGTGGCATCGGGTCAGTAAAAAGATAAGGGCCAATGGGGGAATAGGGAGGGAGTGGCTGAGGGACATAGGAACAAGGGAAGGAGCCAATGGGGTCTTAATAGCTTTTGAGGGAAGCTTCTCGTGTCTCCCTAACCCAGGGAATGCCTCTCAGGGTCCCCACATTCTGGGTCACCCCTGTCTGCTTAGATTTTTGCAAGGGCCCTGCAAAAGTCCTTAGCAGTTGTGTTTGTGGTTCAAATACAAAAAAAAGGGGGAATTGTGGAAGAGGTTTTACAGTGACTTCTGTGAGCCAGAGAGAAGTTTGATAAGAGGATCCATGTTTACCCCTGAAAGAATTTCCTACCTAGGTTGTTGACATAGAAACCAAGCAAGAGAGAAGGATAAATAAGAGAAAACTGCAACTGTCTATTCCAATAAGCACTTTTTTGTTCTTTCATGACCAATGAGTAAAGTGTAAACGTCTTGTAAGAATGTATAAAAAGCATGCATGCTATAATAAAATGAGGTTTGAAGCCTTCTGAAAATGGAGTGTGTTGTTTTGTATTGTCTCCGTCTCAACTATGACCGGCTCAACTACAACAGGATTTCAACCTATTTATTTAGCAGCCTTAAAGATTCTCTGACAGACTAAGGACATCTCAAGTGCATTAAAACTTGTCCTGGAAGTGTCATACACTTTAACAGTGACAAAAATGCATAATATAGTGATGACCAGAGACTCTTGTAGTCTCATAGGGATGCAACAGTACTGCGACAGTGTGGGGTGCTGCAGCTTTGGGACATGTTGGTTTGCCTGAGTAGGGTGGCAACACATAGAAGTGCCATGGAACATGCAGGGTATCAGTGGCAGAGTGATGACATACCTCAGTGCAGGAACAGAGTGATGCAACATGAAGTATCAACACAGCAAGCAGTGCCAAAGAGGAACTGTACCAAGCCCCCATGTCCCACCCAGCTCTGGGGGATTACAGCTCTATGTGGCACTCTAGAGGGAAAGGAACTGGGCTGTGCATGTCAACGTAACATGTGGTGACAGTGGGAATGGTGATCTCATTGTGGGCCTGGTGTCACACCAGTGACAGTGAGGCACGCGCTCAGAGTAGGAGCTGAGGTCAGCAGAGACAGCAGGGCCGCATAGTGATGCTCCCTCGTATGAATCACTATTCCCCCGAAAAACGAAGCACAGGTGGTGAGCTCAACCCCGGCGCTGTCACACGAGAGGGCGACACAGCCCTGCTACGATGCCCGCTCATGTCAAACCCTCTAACTACCGGTGCCTGTCGCCCGCCTTGACTGACATGACAGCTACCGCAGCGGCTCCCCGTCACCAGCTGCTCCTCACACGAGCCCAACACCCTTCCGGCCGACGGAAGTCGATAGTAGCAACCATGGCAACTAATCCGGGCGCAGAACGCTGTCAGCGTTGGCTATTCTTTTTCTCTCCACCTCTCCTTGAAGTGTCCCCGCGCCTCCCTAGAGAGGAAAGTGTACGTCCCTGCGGCAGTGAGGCGAGGGCTGCAGAGAACCGAGCGTCTGGACCCCGGAATTATTGCCAGAACTCCCGCCTTTCATGAATATGCAAATATAGGGCGGGGCGGTGGGGGCCGGGCCCGGAAGCGGCGCGGCTGAGTCACTTCGGCGGCGACGATGATAAGGCAGAACCCGCGGTGGGCGGCGCCGTTGCTTTAATCTTTCGATGTTTGAGGAGTCTCCCTGTATTTGGTCTTCTTTCTTTCCGCCTTGTCTCTACCATCATGATGGAGGAGATAGACCGCTTCCAGGTGCCAGCCGTTCGGGCCGAGATGCAGCCGCTGGTGAGGGAGGCCGCGCTGTTTCCGGGAGCTGCCCCCTTGCCATGGGGGTGTGTGCTCCCTGTGCCTGTGCGCCGCGATTGTCGTGTAATGGCCGTCATCTCCCTGGGTGTTATCGGTGGCAAGGGCAGAAGCCCCCCGCGAAGGGGGGGAGAAGGGAAGGGGGTGGGCAAAAGGGGCTCTGCCCCTGCGTCGGTTGAAACGTCGCTTCTGCAAACGCAGTAACGTCTCGAAACACCCTGGCCTGGCTAGTGCATGAGGTGAGTGTTTCGCGCCGCCTCGGCCAGTGGGCTCCAGTGCAGGGGAGGGGAGTGCTCCGGGGGAGTGGGAAGCGGCGGAAAGATGCAGGAGCCCGTCCAAGTAAGGACGGGCAGCCAGAGCAGCTGGAGGCGTAAAGAATTGGTGGGGTTTTAGTTGATTTTTACAATATAGGTGAGGTCTGGGGTACAATTGAGCGATGCTTATGCGCAGTCCGGACTGAGAGGTTCTCCCTAGGACCGAGATATCCGCACGGGATGGGCGTTAAATACGCCTATCTGGCGTGAGTTGTATGAAGCTGTGGGACCACTCTCTCTGGCTGATTTTATAGCCATTGCTCTAGAGGAAAAATGCTATTAGATACTCGTGTGAAAAATCCAGGTGTTCTGCAAAGAAACACCTGTGTCAAATTACAGTTTTGCTCATGTACAGTTCTTTACATAAAAAAGCAATTTTTAAGGTGTTGGATTTTTCCCCCCAAGCCAGGGCATATGTTTTTCATTTTGTGTTATTTTTCCACTTCATGGACACAATTATACTCAGTTAATGAACTCTGAAGAAGTTCACATAAAGGTTACACTACTACATGGGACCCTGGGGAATCTTTGCAGAGAAGGAAGTATACAGACTTGTGGGACTTTCTGGCTGCACAACTGGGCAGGTAGAGTGGTCCTGGGCTCTTGGTATCTTCTGAAATGACGCTTATGAAGGAAGGCTAGCTGGCTGGTAGTCATGGGAGATGCTAGATCATCACCAAGTAGTCTTGGTGATGATTTCTTATGAATGTGTAGTTGCGTTGCTTTGCTTTGATGCTACAGGCTTGCTTATGTGTGTTGTGCCCCAGCTGCATTCTGCAGAACACGTGAATGTGGTTATCTATTTGTTTCCTAACTGGGAAAGGTTCCTTTGTGTGTTCCTCTCCACTAAATTCAGTCTGCCTTACTCTTCACTTGAAGGTGTGTTATTATGTGCGACCTGGGACTTGTTGAAATACAGTTCACCTTGGCATTAAAGTGAAAGCTGGATATGAGCTGATTCAAGATGCTGATTCTCTGTGGCACCTGGAGTAAGCAAATTCCATCTTGGCATCCGATTGCATGAGACAATGATATGAAATATTTAGAGAAGCGGAAATAACTTTATTAAAGTACATGTACAGATCCTTTTGACAGCAGGTGAGGATAGGTTATTGACTGGTTCATGTTAGCACTGAAGATACTACTGAGATTTCCAGTATATCAAACTGCATAATTTAGTGTTGATGTCCTTAGTTTCTTGTTGCAGCTAGTGTTTGCAAAAAAGTTGAGAACAAAATAATTGTCTTGTGAACAGAAAGACAGTTTACAAATTTAAATTACCCCTCAGTGGCAAGAAAACCAATTTTCTTATGGTGGGAGTGTTGAAAAATTGTGAAAACATTTTTAGCTGGGTGGTGGTGTTTTCTTGTTTGCTTTTTCAGCTTCTAACCTTTGTGGTGGGGAAGAAAACCATCCATAAAGCTGATGTAGACTTGTTGCATGCCTTACTTGGTGTGTATGTGTTTTGTCAAGCAGAGACAGCAGGCATGACAAGGCTGACCCTCTTTATTCATGCTGAGAGCAGTAGGCATGGCAGTGAGATTAGGAAGTTTGGAAAAGTTGTTGGCAGATGAAAAATACACATAAGTATTTCTTAGAAACCCCATGATAATAGTAGAGGAATGAAATTGGCTTGTGCATACACGTTTGCATGGCCATGGAGTGACCAGAACCCAAAGCGATGGTCTGGTCCAGCCCTGCTGTTGCAGGGTAGGATGGTATATTATGCAGCTGTCATAGTAAGCTTTGGAAATAAGTTTCCTTCTTCTTCAGCAGCCAATAATTAAGAATTTTACACAAAGAGATTTAACACTTGCATTAAAAGAATATTCTGAAACTTTGTTTCAGGGTTTCAGTTCATTTTTAACTAATGGAATGCATTGTGCAAGCTTGTCTATGTTGAAGGCTGTTGCTATGACTGGATATATGGGATTTTTCTGTGTTCCTAGAAATGCTGGCATTGGGCTCAGAAGTGGGACAGAACAAGTCTGGTACAACGCTTCCAGGGGCTTTGTCTACTTTGTGTAGCTCCTGGTTTGTATTTTGCAAGTAGGGACTGGATGCTTGTAAGAATCGCTGCAGTTCGGAAGGTGACTGAGGTTTATCATACTGATTTGCCACGCAGTTCTGTCCCATGTTGCTGCTTTATTCTGTTACAGTAACTGTTTGACCCTTCTCTCTCTCCTCCATCACATGCTTATAAGTAGAGAATAACCTTAGCATTTCAGGACTTTTTTCTCTTCCCAGTATAAAAGTGTTCAGTTTCACATGGTCTTGGGGACAGATGAGTCGTCCAGTGTTGAAGGCCAAAGGAGTCTGGCAATGTTTTCCCCATCCAAAGGGCTGAGGTAGAAGTTTGTTTTCCAGGCAAAACCTGAGAGCTGTTATAACTACTATTAAAGCTATCAAAAACTGTTTTGAAACATGATCCCTTGCTGAAAGCAAATAGAGAATGGAAGGTCCCTTGACCAGTCTGAAGTGCATACACTATAAGAAATATATTTTCATCCTGTTTAGGCTGGAGGGTATCCTAAGAGAGCAGTGTTTCCTCTGAGTCTGGCCAGTACATGGCAGTTTGAGAAGGATCCTGAAGTGAGGTTTGTAAAGCTAGGCTTTTCTCAAAATTCTTAAAAATTTGTGTTCTTGACGAGCATGCATACTTTTTAATGTCCGTTCATCTGTGTAGGTAAAGTGTCATCTTACCTTTTGATGTCTTCATGCTGAACTCCAGGATAACTGTCGGAGATCTGCCTAGAAACAATGTGACAGGCAGGCCTGCTGCTCTGCTAATGTTCAAAATGAAGCAATAGGTATGCTATTAAATGCTGAAGGGAAGCCATTCTTAGAAAGTAGTCTGAAGCTTTTCTGAGCCCTTCAGCCTCCAAACCTGCCGTTGATACTGGCACTATTTATCAGCTGTCTGAAATCCTTCTGAGCCTGTATCTCTAGCATACACCAAGCACTGACTGGCGTATGATGGCAGATTGACAAATGATGGTGTTGGACCTCATGTTGCTCCCATACACTGATGCAGACAGTCTCTGTTCTTAGCAAAAAAACAGAAGTAAACATGCTCTTGCCCACACAGCACCAGTATGACTTTTCTGAATAAAAAGCACCTGTCAAAGTGCAGCAGCTTCAGAGGAGCTTTGCTAGAAACTTATGAGACTTTGGCTTGCTTTCTGAAAGCGACATGTGTAACAGAGTATTTTAATTTCCCAGTTATCTGCCCACATGAAAAGTGAGAGCTCTTTCTGGAGAAATTGAATTAATAGTTCTTAGATCTTGTTCTGAAGTATTGCGGCCACGCTGCTTCCTTGCAGATGTTTGCCAGGCTGTAGGACCTTGGGCTGGTAGCTCTAGTTGCTATGACCGCAGCTGATCCAAGGATTTTGCTTAGCTGCATCCTACAGTGAGATTGTTGGTTTTCTAGCTGAGATGCCAAATATATGCTGCTCTCCTGGAGGTATAAAATTTTCTGAAACTTTGAAGGATACAGAAGATGCTTTTCTATACAGCTTTCTTTGAACATTAGAAGAGAAAAAAAAATAGGCTATCTACTGTATGCTTAGCTTTTAAAAACAAAACTATCATTTTAGTCAGTGGACAGTATCAGTGTTCAGCATGCTTATCAAATCCATATTCATTATTTGTGGAACATATTGACTGTTTCATCCTAGGGAAGTTGTGCTATGCGTTGAGACCTTTTTGTTTTGTCTGATGCATCCCTGAAAGAGGGGAAAACCTAAAATGAGAGAGTAATGAAGAAGCAAAAATAAAAGCCATGCCTGTAGGGCTTAGAAAGAGTATGCTAATATAACATTAGGTCTAGCGTAGATACACAAGAAACTCCTTTCTAGGTGGAAAAAAGTTTCTAAAATGAAAATGTCATCCCTATGTATATTAATTTTAATGTAGCCCATGGGTTACACAGCTATATGTTTTGTAAATGCCTACAGCACTATGAGTTCTGAAATTAAAATAATTCAGAAAGTGCTGCTTTTAGTTATACAGCTTGTTTTGATGTGCTGCTGTGTCATTTATAGCAGTAACCTAAAAATTACCTCCCTGCATGTTTCATTTTTGTCATTGGGATTGTCTTGTTCCTTCTCTGCCCTGTATCAGGTCTTAGGTGCAGAGGTACAGGAGCATTTTTATTATACCCCCCAGGCTAGGGATAAATTCCAGAAGTGATTCCAGCATAGGCTCCCACTCCTAGCTATGCTTCCCCCCCTTCTCCTTATGCACCTGCTTACTGGCAGAGCATGGTATACTGAAAAGTCCTTGATTTAGAGTAAGCACTGCTTAGCAACAACCAAAACCATCAGTGTGTATGATGTCCTACCCTTAAGGGGAAGGGAGCACCCAAGATTTGCAGATGATCATGGCTGAAAGGAATGACAAAAGTCAGAGGGTCCACAAAACCTCACAATTTTATTAGTAAACTACACACTTAGCATGGGAATTGGTATGCTAGTCCCTGACCTACTATATAAGTACATGACAGTGGGTTTTGAATAAAGGGGTAGGGCAAAGGGAAGAGAGAAAGTGAGAGATTAATTGAAGAAGGGGAGAGGAAAAGAAAAAGAGATCACCTGTTCTGGTCCCAGCATCGATGCAGCTGGGGTGTCCAGGGTCCTGGGTGTGCCATCTGGGCTTTGTGGAAGT